CCTAATCTCTTCATCCATGCATTCCTCCTTTATTTTTACCTTTTCTTCGAATTTTCGTTAGCTTTAAAACAGCAACCCTTGCAATGCAGCAACTGTCCTTTTGTTGTTTTCAAATAGATGATATTTTTCTCTCCTTGTTATTCAACCTTGTAGCTTCCACTGATACACGTAAATTTCACTATCATTGCCTTAATTGGCTCTGATTTGGAGTTTCGTATCTTTGCTTTCCGTTACGCTTCTTCTAGATATCTTCCTCTTCTAGCACTTTTAAATTTCAAATCCCACGCAACATCCTGGTAAAAAGAGCGATAAACTGAAGCTACAGTAGTCTACTTGCCATTTAGCTTCGAGTCGTCCATGAAGAGATGATCCGAACCTAAAATTCGTTGCTAGAGTTACACCTCGTGTTTATTGGACTTTTTCACCAGAAAAGCCTAGCCGTGCCTATATTCTACTACAGAAATACATTGAATATATTTTTAGATCATTCTGTTTCCAGAGTTCAAAGAAACAACCTATGAATACGGAGATCATTTTCGTTTTAATAGACATTGAAAATAATGTGAAACTTTCTCTCAGACGGTGTCTAAATTATTTTTTTTCGCTTTTGTATATTGTCAATTCTGTGTATTGTGTGTGTAATGTTTAAAAATATAATATGGCTTTGATAGAAAATAATAATTATGCTTACAAAAAGCTAAAAAGGATATAAAATATACATATAATAGAGAGAGAGAGAGAGAGAGAGAGAGAGAGAGAGAGAGAGAGAGAGAGAGAGAGAAACAGAGACAGAGTCTTGTGCAGTCATTCATGCTGCACGGTTATTGCTAATACCTGAGCGAACTATGTGAAATGAGTAATTATATATACTTTTTTCTTCCTAATTCGCCCTAACCCCGACAGCACATTGACAAGAGTTCATGAAGATCAAATACGTCATCAACTAAACGTCGAACTTTCGTAGTCTACCAGAGACGGCCAGGTCTGAATAAAGACGGTAATAGAGAGAGGATGAGAGACCTGTGAGGTGTGTAGACCTGTGAATAATTGGATAATTATTTGCCTGACCCTACTTTCCACTGCGCTGTGATATTCGCTTTCCTGTGATCTGTACCGAGTACTCTGAGTTTGTATATTGGTCGTGTTCAGATGGTGAAGTTTAGAAAATATATAATATGATGTTCTGTGTACAAGGGGCGGAAAGAGTAAATTTCTCCAGGTGTGAGAGGTAACTTTAATGTATTTAACTGCCAGTTCCAGACCGATTTGATTCTCGTCTGATATATACACAGCAAGCGCATGAAAGCTGGTGACGTCTTCACGTTTGGTGGAATTTAGAAAAAAAAAACGTAAATGAGAACGATCTTCACAGAACAAGAGGTGTGACTGACGCATTTCGAGATTGTGCTTTAGTCAGAGTTATTACACTGAATGAAGATATATCGAAACAAGTTATTCGCTCTACCATTTGTCAAAAATGGCGGAAAATTCGGTTTCTGCAGATTGTCCCATTTTCGGAAACTATATTCCGAATAGATAAATTAGTCAGATATGTTACATCGTATTGACATAAATTATCACATAAGTAACACGGCATAAGACATTTTCACATATTTAGTACTAGTCTAACTTTCCTATTCACAAGTGTGAGGATACTACAGCCAGGCCTTTATTTCTACTGTGTACATTTAATTCAACAAAATGATCTGTCAACTATTATCGTTAATATGTCGCATAATATATACTCGTGTGTGTGTTTACACACACACATACACACACACACACACACACACACACACACACACACACACACACACACACACACACACATATATATATATATATATATATATATATATATATATATATATATATATATACATATATATACATATATTTATATATATACATATATTTATATACACACATACGCATATATATATATATATGTATATGTGTGTGTGTGTGTGTGTGTGTGTGTGTGTGTGTGTGTGTGAGTGTGTGTGTGTGTGTTTGTGTATGCGTGTGTGTGTGTGTGTGTGTGTGTGTGTGTGTGTGTGTGTGTGTGTGTATCTGTATGTGTGTGTGTGTGTGTGTGTGTGTGTGTGTGTGTATGTGTGTGTTCACACCATCCCAATTATTAATAGTATCATTATTATTACTATATAAAATAAGTATGATTAAGCTTACGTTGCTAAATGCTTATTAAGTACTTATACCCCAACTAGCTTGCAAATATTCATATATTAAAAAAAATATATATATATATATATATATGTACGTAGTGTTTCCTTCCTTTCATTAAACCGCATAAATTATGGATTCAAATATGACTCTCAAGCAATTTTATGCACCTTCATGAGCATAAAATTTCGATTAGCCTCAGGCTGCCACATCGATCATAATATAAATCACAGTCTAAAACGTGGAGTGTATCATACTAATGATCCTGAGGTGTAATGTTCTAAGTGTAAAAAATCCACGTGAATTATGTTTTATTCCTCAGTTAACTTTGCAGTCCGTGGTAACTTATAAGATCGACGGGATATATTGTCGTATTGATCACAGTGAAAATTAAAGGATATATACTACGCCATTCACTGTATTTAGGTAGATAGAAAATATTATTCGTGAATGCCATTAGACTTCACTCTTATTTACATTTTTTTTTCTGTAAGTCGTGTAGAATTCTATTCTTTCCAGAGTTGAATGCCTTTTTGATGATGTTCGTTATTTTCTACTTGTCTCTTTCAAGTATGATTATAATTATGATAATCGGGAAGGAAAAGCTCAATGATATAATTCCATATGGCATTAGGACAGTAAAGTAATAGGTTTTTATGTGAGATGTATGTATTCATAGCCATGGCGGTAAGTGTGGCAATAATATCGATTATCATAGTAATAATGCTGATAATAATTATGATCATAATGATGATGGTGACATGATGAAGATGGTGACATGATCATGATGATGATAACGAAGAAATAATACTAACTATGATAATGATGGCATTTGCAACAGTATTAAATAAGATGAAAATAACAAAATCACAACTGTAGTAAATAAAATAGAGACGTATAATAGGGAAAATTACAAAATTTCAGGACTGTAAAGAGCAGGAACACTGAATAAAAAATACTAATATTGCAAGTAGTTTTTGGAATATCATGATGATGATTAGTATTCATTCAACGTTCATTGCATCTTCCTAAACATATTTGATATTATTTTTTCCTCTTCTAAATTTTGAACCTATTACTTGTGTATTCACACTACACTGATAAAAGAGTGCTTACACCGTCTGCGAGATTATTATTATTGATGATTTGCGTGAAATGTTTAATTCTGAGGAAAAAAGTTTAATGTGTTTTTGATTCCTCAAGAGATCATCAACATTGTATCTGTCACTGGCGTTATCATTATCATTATTTCCATTAGTAGTGGTAATAAGAGTAGTAGTAGTTGTAGTAGCGGTAGTGATAGTAATAGTAGTAGTAGTTTCATTACCATTATTCTTGCTATTAATACAATTACTATCATTACTATCTTTATTATCTTCATTAGCATTATCCTTATCATTATTATCATTATCATTATTATCATTATCATTATCATTATTATTACTATCATTGTTGTTATTATTATTATCATTATCATTATTAATGATATCATTGTTACTATTACTATCATCCACGCACACGCATGCACACGCAGACACATGCACAACACAACACACGCACACAACACATGCACACGCAGACACATGCACACACACACACACGCACACACACACACACACACACACACACACACACACACACACACACACACACACACACACACACACACACACACACACACATACACACACACTTTTTTTTTTCCTTTCTTTCTTTCTTTCTTTCTTTTCTTTTTTTGAACATCCATTCAATCTACTGCAGGAGATAGGCCTCTCTCAGTTCACTATTGAAAAGTTATTTTGGCAATGCAACCCTTGCCTGATACGATGCCTTTCTCAATCAACCGCGATTCGGCGTACTAACAGCTGTACCACCGCGGCGATTTCCCCTACGGCACCTGCGTTTGAATTCTCAAGGCGATATGTCGTTTTCTCGCCGTGAGATTGGACTCAAGCCAGCAGTCGTAGCATACACACACACACACACACACACACACACACACACACACACACACACACACACACACACACACACACACACACACACACACACACACACATATTGGGATATTGACACAAGGTTTATATTCATATATATATATTTTGATATATCATTTACTTTGAAATGTTACAATGTATGACAGCGTGGCATTCTGTTCACATTCTTACCACTGACTGACATGACGCAGAAATATTTAAAGGAAATCCTCACAAATAATTTTGGGAATGATGACAGTATGTGGGCAGACGGAGCAATATGATTCTTTGGATTTAAATCCCTCAATTACGGGTCTAAAATGAAAATTAAAATTGTCTTAAAACAAATTATGACTTTTTATTGAACAGGAGATCTTAAAAGTTAGACTTCCTGGGGTAGGGTTCAGGTTTTTCCTAATATGATTCGTGCTAAATCGTATATTTTTGGAAATAAAGATGTAGGATTTTTAACACTGGTATTTATTCTAGGGTTTTATATGATGATAAATTACTGATATTTGAAGTATCAGACGGTTTAAAATAATTAAAGGTAGCGGATCCCATTTTGATTATCCAACGTCCAACTTTATCCTGTAGAAAAGATGCGCTATCATATTCCTTTATTTGCTTCCAGTATTGCTATGTCTGCTACAATTAAGGTGAGAAGGGAAAAATAGGGGGATAAACAAAGAGCACAACAACAACGAAAAATCCACCGTAGATGAAATGTTTTACAGATACGTCCCTGAAGCAAAGTCCGCACTATACACGAGGTCCGTAAATGGAATGTTGACAGCCACTTGAACCAATGCTTGTTTCTTAGTATCATATATTTGCTGTTATATATGGAATTTAATCGCCATATAAAATTAATGGCGACAATTCTACATCGTGGAGGTTAAATTAAATGAATGAATAAATAAATGAATAAACAATACACGTTTATTAGAAAAGGCAATAGGTTCATTATAAGTTCATTATAATGTGGCATTCAAACCTATAATCTCGCCTTTCTACAAAATATGCTTTGACCTTATTTCCTTCTGTCATCATTAAAATTGCAATAATAAAAAGAAAAAATCATAAGCACAAAAAATACATACAAACACCAAGGACATATTTATGATCGCAAAAAATATTGATATTCCAATTTTTTAAAAAATCACGACATGAAAGAACATTTGCCATGAATTATAGCCATAAATCGAGTGGTTATCAGGTATTCTCGGTGACTCGTCCTCAATCGGAACCGAGATTATTAGATCTTGGATTAACTGAATTTCCCTTAAATTAGACTGCATTAATTTTTCGCGCTCTAATCTTAGAACCTTCCCTTGTAGGAAGTTAAAGTGATGATTAAGATTGACTTTTTCAGTCGTTCTTGTTTCGTTTTTTTTTTTTTTTTTTTTTTTTAATCTATTATTATCATTGTAGACAAAACGTTCATGTTGATCGACGAACTGAAGTTATCGGCTTCAAGATTTTTTTTTTCTTGTGATTTTTTTAATCGTTTGGTTCCATCTTCCAACGTTTTGCTTTCCTTTCTTGTCTTCTCTCCTTCGCATCCTCTCCCTCCTTCCCTCACAATCTTCTTCACTCGTTTTTCTTCGCCCTCTCCTCCTTTCCAATAGCGCCGTTCGGTTTCGCTGTCGGTTCCGTCAGCGGCCCGAACACCGACCCGGGTCCGGCATCGAGCGAATCAACCGACTTCTGCGACTCGACCGACTTCTGGGTATCGAACTGATCCGACACCGACATCCTGCGACACTCCTCGATCACCAGGCGGGTCGACTCCTCCAGGTCCTGCTCGCGGTGAGCCACGCGGCCGCCAGCCTGCTAAATGACGTCACGAGCATGTCAGAAACGTGTTTATTCGTAATTGAGTTAGACATATGGAAGGGTCGAGGAGGGGGGGGGGATGGGAATTAGTTAAACGTGGTGTGGAAGATTTTTTTTTTCTCTCTCTCTCTCTTCTCTCTTCTCTCTCTCTCTCTCATTCTCACTCTCTCTCTCTCTCTCTCTCTCTCTCTCTCTCTCTCTCTCTCATCTCTCTCTCTCTCTCTCATTCTCTCTCTCTCTCTCTCTCTCTCTCTCTCTCTCTCTCTCTCTCTCTCATCGTTTCTGAGCTTTAATTCCCAACCCCATTTCATTCAAAAGTTAGTCCTCCCACACCTTGTCACGTACCTCCATGACCATCCTCACCTACCCTTCCTTTACCACTTCCATCCCTCTTTTCAACCTCCCCCCCCTTTATTTCCCCTCAAATTCCCCAAACACAAGCCCTCCTCAAACCCCCCTTACCCTCCCACCTTAACCCCCCCCACCTCCTTAACTCCTCCCCCTCCCCCACCTCTCCCCTCCCTTCCTACATCCTCAGTCTCCCCCATACCTGTTTGGGGAAGGAGAGAGAGAGAGTGAGAGAGTGTTTGGGGAAGGAGAGAGAGAGAGAAAGTGAGTGAGAGTGTTGGGGAAAGAGAGAGAGGGAGTGAGAGTGTTGGGGAGAGAGAGAGAGAGAGAGAGAGAGAGAGAGAGAGAGAGAGAGAGAGAGAGAGAGAGAGAGAGAGAGAGAGAGAGAGAGAGAGAGAGAGAGAAAATTCCTTACCGTCAGCGCCTCCTCCGCGGGGGGGTTCATGAGCGTAAATGGCACCTCGGCCACCAGCTCCCCCCCGAGAGTGCCAAGGATCAGCTTCACTCGGGCCACGTAGGACACCACGATGCCGAACTGCTGACGCTGGTCCAGGCTAGTGAATCTGTTGGGGAGGGGTGGAGTGGGTCAGAAGGGGGGGGGGTAAGAGGGATGGGTGGATAGGGTGAGAGGGAGGGATGGATAGAATAAGGGGGGTGGAGAGATAAAGGTGAGAGGGAGGGATGGATAGGGTGAGAGGAATGGGTGGATAGGGTAAGAGGGAGGGAGGGATAGGGTAAGTGGGAGGGGTGGATAGGGTGAGAGGGAGGGATGGATAGAGTGAGAGAGAGGGATGGATAAAGGAGAGAGGACGGGATAGATAAAGAGAGAGGGATGGATGGATAGGATAAGAGGGAGAATGGATAAGGAGAGAAGGAGGGATAGGATGAGGGGGATGGATAGATAGGGTGAGAAGGATGGATGGATAGAGTAAGAGAGAAAGACGAATGAGGTGAGAGGGAAGAATGTTTAAAGTAAGGAGTTGGGAAATGGGGTGAATAGGGCAATGAAGAAAGGTGGGGGATGGAAGGAAAGAGGATAAGCAGGAAGTGAAGAGATGGAAGAGTTGTTAGAGGAGGATAAAGAGAATGTGAAGAGCGGGATATACGGAAGGAGAGAGGGGATGGGTAGGGAAAGCAAAGAGGAGAAGGAAAGGAAAAGTGAAGAAGTAAGAGAGAAATATGAGAGTGGGAGGGAGAAGAAAGAAGACAGAGGTTAGTAGTGATTCGATTGATGGATGCTTAAATATGTGAGTGTGTATGTATACACACACATACATATATATGTATACATATAGATGTATATATAAATGTGTATACATACACACATACATACATACATACATATATATATATATATATATATATATATATATATATATATATATATATATATATATATATATATATGTATATATATATATATATATATATATATATATATATATATATATATATATATATATATATATATGTGTGTGTGTGTGTGTGTGTGTGTGTGTGTGTGTGTGTGTGTGTGTGTGTGTGTGTGTATGTGTGTGTGTGTGTGTGTATACATATATATACACACACACACACAGAAACAGCTCCTCAAAAGAGTTTATAAACACAATCTCGAAGCCTGTAACCTGACCACATACTAAAGATCTTTAGTTACATCATCTTCGATATATCCCAATCTCTCCAGAACGGCAATGACAAAAGTTGACAAAGACGCCAATCAGCATGAGAAAAGAAACAACAACAACAACCACGACGGCAAAAACAACAACACCGCAAAACTCACAGCGTGGACGATGCGAGGCACGTCTCCTCAGACTTCAGCCGACCCTCGATGGCCACGCCGCGCTTGTCCCGGTTGTACTCGAGCTTCGGCTTCAGGCTGAAGGTCTTGGCCAGCGTCGCGCCGGGGACGATGGGGCACCCCTCCCTGTGGGGGGAGAGAGAGAGGAGGGCAGGTGAGTGAGAGTGTTGAGGATAGAGAGAGAGAGGGAGTGAGAGTGTTTGGGGAAGGAGAGAGAAAGAGAGAGAGGGAGTGAGAGTGTTTGGGGAAGGAGAGAGAGAGAGAGAGAGAGGGAGTGAGAGTGTTTGGGGAAGGAGAGAGAGAGAGGGTGAGAGAGAGTGTTTGGGGAAGGAGAGAGAGAGAGAGTGAGTGAGAGTGTTGGGGAAAACGAGAGAGAGGGAGTGAGAGTGTTGGGGAAGGAGAGAGAGAGAGAGAGAGAGAGAGAGAGAGAGAGAGAGAGAGAGAGAGAGAGAGAGAGAGAGAGAGAGAGAGAGAGAGAGACAGAGAGAGAGAGAAATTCGTTGCAACAATCTTTAATTTACTTGTATTTATTCTTTAGGCCTAAACATAATATGACCCTTAGATTCCTTGTAATTATTTTACTTATTTGTTGTTGACACGACTACGATTGTTTTTTTTTCATTCTTTTTTTGTGTGCGTTTTTTTAATAGTAATCTTAATCGCATTCCTAACCGAAATATTGACACATGCAATCAGTTTCATTTTTTTTGTATGGTATTTTTGGGCGTATTTTTTACGCCTCTTTGAAAATGTTAAAAAAAGAGGGAGTGACTCATGGTACTGGAGGAAGGAGAGGAAGTGAGGGAAATGGGAGAGAGAGTGAGGGAGTGAGAATGTGGGTGAGATGAAGAGAAAGAGAAGGGAGTGGATGGAAAAAAAAGAGCAAGTGAGAAGGTAAGAGATGATAAGAGAGACAAAGAAAAAGAAAGAGATAGGCTGACAAAGAATGACAGAGACAGACAGACAGACACAAAAAACAGTGGGTAAAAGAAATAAAACACAAGAAGCCGCGAGTAGGCTAATCAGATAGCATGTGAAATACAACTCTTATACCCCTCCCCCCACCTTCCCCACCCTACCCCCACCCCCACCCCCCATCCAGTGAGGTATCTTTACATAATTCCTCAAAGGAGATGCCTCGTGTTCAATATTTTTCTCGCTCTCGTGGGCTCGGAAGGAGAGGGGGAGAGGCTCTTGGCCTTGGAATAAGGGGAGGTAAGAGGGAGAGAGAGAGAGAGAGAGAGAGAGAGAGAGAGAGAGAGAGAGAGAGAGAGAGAGAGAGAGAGAGAGAGAGAGAGAGAGAGAGAGAAGAGAGAGAGAAAGAGAGGGAGAGAGAGAGGGGGGGAGGGAGGGGGATAAGTAGGGATGAAGACGGAGGGAGAAAAATAAAATGATAAGATAGTGAGAAGTTAAAGTGAGAGATGAAAGAATAAGGGGGGAAGTGGATTGGATAAAAAGAATGAATAGATAAATATGAAAGAGATTAATGCTGACTAATCATAGTTATAGATATTTATTCTCCTATTAAACCTCTTTTCTACATAAACTGAATAAACGAGGCTGTAGGTGGGAGTGGAGGAGGGGAAAAAAATAGGCGAAAAGAGAGACACGAAGAGAAAAAGTAATTAAATAATAAAACGCAGACAAGATAAGACGAATAGGGGGGAGATAATCCAATGAAGACAGTGATAGGACGAACAGAGAACGAAGCCACAGAAGAGAGGAAGCAACAGGTCGATATTTCGAAGATTATGAAATGGAAATTCACACAGGAGAAATCTTCAGAAGTGATAAAGAGGAGAGGCGACAGACGTGCAGTAGAGCCGTAAAGTAGATGAGGTAGTTATATAAGTGCCATTCAAAGAACAATACGAAACCTCTTATGAGTGGAATGGGGGAGGGGGGAAGGAGGGGCGGAGATATTTGGAATTATCCGTAAGGCTTTTTTCGTAATCTGCCCCTTCAATATAATTACAGTTTTAGATCAGTTCATACCATCTTCATTGTTATCGTAATAAAAACAGTGTCCATATTATTAGCAATTTTATATCAGTTCATATAATTTTCATTGTTATCGCAATACAAAACAGTGCAAATATTAACAGCAAGAGCGTATGTAAATCAGCGTCCATATATCCCATTCAATACCTATCAAAATTCTAAAAAGGTGAATATGACATTCCTAACTGATTCATATTCCACGACGAATCGCGCCGGCTACGAATCCTCAAATTGAATCTAGCATCAGTACGCGGATCCGGTTCACCACTAAAATCTAATCAACCATTCCCTGAACCGTGGCCAACCTATCCACAAAGCTTCATCACAATCAGTCTTAAACTTTTGGCTTAATCCTGCTGACTAACCAGGAAACCGAGACGCCAGCCGAGAGACAGCCATTGAAACATCTCTGCTCGGCGGCGGTAATAATGAGGGTGATGAGGGTGGTAATGGTGATGAGGGCGGTGGTAGTGATGATGATGATGACAACACATGATCAATGAGCGAAAAGTGAAGGTAAGGAATAAGAAAAAAAAACGAAATAAAGAAAAATAAAGAAAGAACGAAATAAAGTAAAAAGGAAAGGACGCCGCCCGCTGTAGCATATCGATTTTAATATAGGGAAAATAACTAGCATCTCAGCAATTTGATTCATCGAGCACGTGATTCGACGAAATTGTCAGCTCTACGTATTTTGTCCGTTAAGTAACAAATTGGCTCCGGCCTTGTTATTGCCCCGTCCCTGGCTCTTGTTACATCATTCACACAGCTCGTACGTCCATGGCTGTCATGTCATGTCACAGGGAGGTACGTCGTGTCCCTAGCTGTTATGTCATGCCACAGGCAGGTACGTCGTGTCCCTTGTTGTTATGTCATGTCACTGACAGGTATGCCGTGTCCCTGGATGTTATGTCCCTAGTTGTTGCATTATGTAATTTATTGTTCTCGTTCATAGAATACTCATACGGTGTGTGTGTGTGTGTGTGTGTGTGTGTGTGTGTGTGTGTGTGAGAGAGAGAGAGAGAGAGAGAGAGAGAGAGAGAGAGAGAGAGAGAGAGAGAGAGAGAGAGAGAGAGAGTAAAATTTCATTACACTATTCTTTGAAATCCTGATATAACCTTGCAGATCTTGTGAAGTGGAATATATATCCATTCAGCTCGGTTAACAGATAATTGATTCCATGAATTATAAAGTCAACAGCTAAAGAATCACAAGGGTGGCGAAGTAAGTGTAAAGGATCTCATCTTAAGACAGGCAGATAGACAGAGAGAATAAGTAAGTAGATAAGTGAGCGAGTGAGTGTGAGTGTGAATCTAAGAGTGATTGTGAATCTAAATGTGTGTGTGTGTGTGTGTGTGTGTGTGTGTGTGTGTGTGTGTGTGTGTGTGTGTGTGTGTGTGTGTGTGTGTGTGTGTGTGTGTGTGTGTGTTTGTGTATGTGTGTGTGTGTGTGTGTGTGGCAGAGAGAGAGAGAGAAGAGAGAGAGTAAGAGAGAGAGAGAGAGAGAGAGAGAGAGAGAGAGAGAGAGAGAGAGAGAGAGAGAGAGAGAGAGAGAGAGAGAGAGAGACACAGACTGAAACAAAAACAGACCGACAAACGGGGACAGATAACCACTGCAGCCACAAACGGAGTCAAAAACAGACATACAAAAAAAAAGAACAGACAGATTTGATTGTATATGATTGTCATAATCTCATATAATGTTTTTCTTTTTTTTAAACAAAAGACCCTTACTCATTCCCTGCAAAAGCCATGGCAATATTTCACAGTCACGTCCTGCAACATAAAAGCATAACGTTCATCTTCAGATTATGCTTATGACTGTGTTTCTTTTCATCTTTGTGTACACATTACTGCGCTTGTGCATGTGTATAAAACTCATCATTACGATCATCCCAGTTATCATAATCATTATTAGTGGTAGTATTCTAAGAACACGAACGAGAAACAAAGGAAAAAATAGTAGAAGATGAGTCAGTATGTATTCACAGGTGAATAAGAACGTGCGTCGGCTAGTAGAGTATGATTATAGTGATATGACACGGCCAGGTAGTCACCGAGCGATCACTGGGCAGAGAGTTAGGTAAAGAACTGTTACATGTTACATAATTATCTGGTATACTATTCATGTACGTGTGTACGTGCATGTATATGGATACATACATATTACACACACACACACACACACACACACACACACACTCACACACACACACACACACACACACACACACACACACACACATACACACATACATATATATATATATATATATATATATATATATATATATATTATATATATATATATATATATATATATATATGTATATACATATGTATACACATATATATGGACTGCGAGAGAAAGAGAGAGAGAGAGAGAGAGAGAGAGAGAGAGAGAGAGAGAGAGAGAGAGAGAGAGAGAGAGAGAGAGAGAGAGAGAGAGAGAGAGAGAGAGAGAGAGAGAGAGGGAGAGAGAGAGAGAGAGGGAGAAGAGAGAGAAAGAGAGAGAAAGAGAGAGAAAGAGAGAGAAAGAGAGAGAAAGAGAGAGAAGAGAGAGAGAGAGAGAGAGAGAGAGAGAGAGAGAGAGAGAGAGAGAGAGAGAGAGAGAGAGAGAGAGAGAGAGAGAGAGAGAGCATCAGCCATTCGGAACAATAACCGCCTCATATCTCCCGCCAGCATCAAACGCGGACCTCTTGAGACAGAAAAAGCCTTTTCTACTACTGAGAAATAGCTGATCTAGAGTTATCCCTCGAAGATATATTCCCTCCTGAAGAAATTGTCATGTCATTAAGTTATCTACTATATATAGGTTAATCCCCAATTAATTACATATAATGTTCTCTCTCCTAGAAGGGATCTTGATATAGATTACGTCGTTTAAGTTATCAGAGGATAGATGATAAAGGATTTTCGAAGATTACGAACGTAAAACGATTTCGAGATTTAGCGACGCAACATTTTTTTTTCTTTTTGTGGATTATAACTTCGTCTCCTGTTATCTTACTCTCTCGATCTAAGACCAATTTGGATCAAGATTCTAATCTTAGTCATCGTGCGTTCGAATCAGTGATTGTAAATTGCATAACCGACAGAAATACAGATCGCCATAAATCTGATTAT